GCCTAAGAGCTCATCTCAGTCTCCCCTCGGGCAGGTTAAAGCCATTCCCCTTGGCCTGTCCCTACAGGCCCTTGTCCAAAGCCCCTCTCCAGGCATCTTGTAGGCCCCCTTTAGGTATTGGAATCAAGTAGTCATGTCCACTTTGGGACTGGATACTCATAATAAAACAAACACAACCTGAACAGGTAGGTAATAAAAAGCACTTGGTCCCATTAAGCTCAAAGGCTGCTGTGGGCAGCGATCAGCTTACAGCTGGGGAAGAGGCTAAGACTCAGAGCAGCTTTCTCACACTTGTAAAGAAGGATCAAAACACTGGTGTCTCAGATGCTCATCCCAAGCTAAGCGTGCTTAGATGGGGAAGCTGCTTTCAGCTCGTAATGGAGAAGAAAAACCTAAGGACACATCTAAACCAGGGCAGTGCTTCTGTTTAGTGTATCAAAAAGAACAGTAACATAGTGAAAGAGCACTAAAGCTGTGAAACAGGATGCTGGTGGGGAGTGGTGGAACAGACCCACCAGGGGATAAGAGCTTCCTACTGAAATTCAATAAAAATCATTCTGGTAAGGATTTGCACTGCAGTGCTGAGAACCCAAACCCCAAAGCATTATATTTAATAGGCTTGGGCAGTTTGGCTTGCCACAGTTTCCCTGTTTAGTCAAATGGGGATAAATACCACCTTTATAAGGTGAGATCAAGTATCTGCTACAGCTGAGCACTGTTAAAAAAGACAATAAAAGAGGCCACTTTCAAACAAAAGACATAAAGGCACATCACTGGTTTTATTTTAAAGCAATAGAGGGACTTCCATGAATCTTACAGGCTGCTAAACACACCTGATGTACTGCTCTTGGACAGCATCGGAGGAGCTCAAACCACATCCAAGTTCAAACACAGCGCAAGCAGCTGCTGCTCCAGACAGCTCATAGGGAGAGCCCTTTGTCCCAGCTGGAACAGCTCAATCCTCTTCCTGCAGAATCTGCCACCCCAGTATTGCAGCCATGTGCCAGTGCAGGAGCACCAAAAAGTGAAGCTACTTCATCTGTTTTCTTTTCTAAGCTAAATATAGGACAAAAGAGTGAAGAGCACAGATGGTGAAAGCACTGCAAGTTTTTAGGCTCTTCTGCTCTAGGAATTTAAGCTGCTAAAGCACAATACAGGCTACAGGCTACACAACACAGGCTAAGCCTCTAAAACACATTCATAACTCAGCTGTGTCACCAACAGCAAAACCCAGCTTTAAGATCACCACAAGTGACCACTGTCATTCGATTAGACATGGGATTCATTTAATCTTAGCACTTGGTGTGAAACAGCTTTCCTATTTCCCTGATCCTGCTCCCTGTAAATCTCCAGACAGAACGGGAACAAAAGCACACCCCATGCAGAAATGACTTCAAATGAAGCCACAACAAGAGGAACAAGGAATTGTTTCACGTGAAGACTGAACAGCAGAAAATAAAGGCTGTTTAATGATTCAGCAGAGAAATTCTTCCAGGCAAATAAGCAGAACTGAAAGAGCAACCCAAAGGGAGTGTGAAGCTGAGGTATTTTGAGGCAACAAAGCCAGGATGGAAAAGCATCATCTGTTTTATACAACCTTAAACTGTGTTCAAGATGCACTTCTGCAGCACATCCACACCACTTATGAAAGGGGCAGGATCAGACCAACCACCCCAAACACCACAGTAAGTCCAACCAGCAGGAAAACAGGTAGAGCTGCAGAATTTGTCAGGACATCCTGGCCCCCTGGAACCCCACAAAGGAGACACAGGGAAATGCCAACCACGGGCCCAATTGGAGGGACGAAGAGGGAGGTTTTGATCAGGAACGCATTGCAACACTGCAAGGTAACAGAGGCCAAAAAGCAAAATGAAGTAAAAGCACCAGCAAGAAAAGTGTATTCACTAAAGAAATAAAATGATCCATACTCCAGGAGGAGTGGTACCAAGTAACAAAGCCCCGCTCTATTTCAGCCTCCATTTCTAACCGCTCTCATCTACCTCTGCTTGCCTCCTGACAAGATAACTGAGTTCAGAACCAGCAAAACATGCTGATCTGAGGTGGAATGAGACAGCCTTGAGATCTGTGATATTAGAAATACATTTAAATTAGCACAATGAGCAGGTCAGGCAGCAGCTCTATGGCCCTCCACTCCGGTACAGTGCCTAACAAGCTGGAGTACTGAACAACCAGTGATTTAGACTTGCCACAGAGACACTTCACTGAGGAGACTGCTTGCTTGGAGTTTGTGGGGATTCTTCTGAGGTTCCAGAAACCTTCAGGATCTACCAGAGAGCCAGGATTCACAGCTCTTACCTCCCTGCTCCAGCACTGACACCACGCAAGCCTGCACAAGTCACTTCAAGCCCTTCACTTTTGTATCTGAGTTTCTTCACCAGTAAAACTGGAAAGGACTCGATCACCTGCAGCTCCCAGTGCATGGAGAAGAAAAGCACTGTGTAATGCTGTCCCTTCGCTATGCCCAGAGATACACCACCTCTCTCTTTCATGTTATTCTGATCTTGCAGCAATGCAGGGGGAGGACGTGCCCGTGGCCATGAGATAACACAAGAGCCGTTAGATCTCACGCAGCTCTTTTCAATTCAATGGCAGGGAAACTGAGGCACGGCCATTCACTCCAGGTCAGTGGCAGAGCCACAGCTGAAGCTGCATTTCCTGACTCACACGTGAAGCACCAGCTGATGGTCTTCCTCAACGCACCTTTTACTGCCTTTAATGAACTGCACTGGAAATGACAAAATACCAATGAAAATGCCAACCAAACGCGCGCCAGGTCTGTCAGGAATCGCAGCGTTCCTTCTTGCCCTCCGTACCTTTTACTGTGCACTGCGTTCCTTTCCTCTCTTCCACTTGTATCCACGCCGCCCAGGCCCACAGCTATCCCGAAGGGTCACAGCCAATGCAGCCCTCAGTCGGCACCGAGGCAGAGCACTGAGCACCGGGGACCGGGCCGGGCACCTCCCGTACAACGGGGGCCTGAGGGCCCTGCTCCCCGCAGGACACAGCCCTGAGAGCCGGGGGGGCTCCACAGCCCCAGGCCCTCAGTCAGCGCCCCGGGACCTCCGTCACCACCCGGGGCGCGGCAGCTCCACAGCCCTCAGTCACCCCTCCGGACCCTCGCAGCCCACCGTGACCTCGGTTCACCACCCCCGGGGCCCGGCAGCCGGGCCCTGCGGTCCCCACATCCCACAGCAGCCCCTCGGAGCCCGGGCCCTCACCCACACCCCCCCCGCAGCCCTGCCGGGGCCGGACGCGGGTGCCTCACCGGGAGAGGTGCTTCAGGATCTGCTTCTTGATGATGGCGGCCATGCCGCGGGGTCAGGCCCGCCCGCCGCGGGACCCCATCGCGCCGCCACCTCCCGCCGGCCCCCGCGCGCCGCCCCGCCGCGCCCCCTGGCGGCCCCGCCGCACGCCGCAACCGAGGGACCCACGCCCACCCCCGCCCCGGTACCGGTGCTCGGCATCATTAGTGAGCATCATTAGTGAGCATCATTAGAGCGGGCATCATTAGAGTGAGCATCATTAAGAGCTTCACCCTGTTAACGCGGTGATTAGCGGGGCTGCCGGTGAAAACCTGCTTAGCATCACCTTTTATAGCCCTTGGTCGGCCAAAATGAAGGTTTGTATTAAGGCGCTCACACTACGATAATCGAAGGTGAAATACAAGCCAGCGAGGTGCCTGGATGAGCACACACCACCCTAACTTCAAGCAGCTCCTGCGCTAGTTGTAGCTGTGCATTGTAGTGATGACTCCAGAGCCGGCCACTTCAGTGGCACGAGATTCCAGCATGGATCACACTGGAGCATTTCCCTTCCAAGGCAGAGCTCAGCAAAGGCAGCCCACGGGGAGGCACGGTTCTGCTGCCTAGCAGGACACCGGAGGCCTGCCCCAGACACTCGCACCTTCAGTGCCGTGACACGAAACCCACATGCTCTGTACTCCACTGTGTGTGTTCTGTTTTAATCCTAGGGTAGGTGGGAACTCGAGTGGCACACAAACCTTGAACTTCTAACAGCTTCCAAACCACTAATTCCTGCCTATTTTTGTGTTGGCAGAGGCAAATCCTCCTCGCACTTCCGTATTAAATGCAAATAAGTCAAGAATGAATTAGACACTTCTGCAGGCTGATGCAGATAACAACATGCACAGAACAGCCAGTTATACCCACAGAATAAATTATCTTGATTCACAGAATCCTACCATAGAATCCCAGAGTGGTTTGGGTTGGAAAGGACCTTAAAGCTCATCCAGCTCCAACCCCTGCCACAGGCAGGAACAGCTTCTACTAACACAGTAATAACTTCTGCCTGATATCAAATGTAAATTTCCCCTCTGTCAGTTTAAAGCCATTCTCCTTGTCTCTCCTATCACTACTTGCCTTTATAAAAAGCACAGGTCATTTGGATTTGCACACCTGCATGATGTACAGCTCATCAAAACCCTTTTAATAAGATAAAGGGCTTGGCCTGTGTCTTCAAGATCATGTCCCCTCATGCTAAGGAGGGAGCAGAGTGTCAATAACTACTGACTGAACAGCTCCAGTAACATAATTCTATGTGTCCACACATATGGCCCAGTAACAAGAGAAAAGCAGAAATGCATTTGGCAGTATCAGAACAATTACTGTAAGAAGCAGCATTTTAACTGCAGCTCTTTGCTTCCCTCAGTGGAGAATCAACATTTTACTAAATTCCCCCTATTCTGTCTAGGGAAGTCACTTAACCTTGCAGTCTCACCAGGCAGAGATACCAGCCTTGGGTCACTTTGGGTTTTATTTAAAAACATGGGCATTTGTTTTGAAACAAGAATTCAAAATGCTGATGGCAACACATCTCTGGAGGGGTGTGACATGGAAAAGAGACCACCTAAGAACTGAGGAGGTAAAAACAGGGAAAATTCTGCACAAGACAGGTAGGGAACAAAGAAAACCAACATCTCTTTCTGCCAGGCAGAAACACCACACAGAGCAAGGCTCACATTCTCTACATGTAAACCAGCATCAATGTTTTATTGTTGTGTTTTAAGATTCAAAAGGGGGGGGGAAGAGAACCAAAAAGCATCCGTCCAGTGTGCAGCAGGATGTAGGCCAAACCACCTGCAAGCTGCAGCAACAGCACATCTCTTATACATGCTATTTTATTACAAAACCTTAGAAACAGAGGTCTGTGGTATTTTATCATACAGAAGATCACAATATGAAAATGAAAAGGCAAATCCATTTCCACCTTTATCTGTCTGGACGGGTCATTCCTGGCCTGGTTGGCACCATCATGGGTCTGGAGGGTGGTCTCATCATTGGGGGCCCTGGCATCATTGGCATGTGTCCACCCATTGGTGGCCTCATCCCCGGAGCTACAAGGGGAAAGAGAAGATGTCACAGAAGAGCTCTTAGGAGTAGCAACTACCCAGTCATGTCAATACACATGCAGGTTCGCCCCCAACCCTCCAGGGAACTTCCCCTTTACAGGTGTGTAAGCTTAGATCTGGAAGCTGGATTATGTTTCCCTGAGGGGTATTAGCAAGTGGAAGAACCAGGTCCCGGGTTATATGCCCACTTCTGACAATACCCACTGATAAGTTATTTTCAGCCACTCAAAGGGACGTTGGATTAATCACTGAATTGGAAAGCGCATTTGGAAGCCACTATGCTGCTTAATGATAGCACATTATGCACATTTTCTGTGCCTTTAAAAAAGCACTTAAAGAACAGTTTCCACCAGCAAGGCAACCACGGGAGACACTTTGCTACTTTTAGAGCGTTGTGTGTTCTTTTAGATTTATTCCAGTTAACTGCTTCAGTAAGATGTCCTTTTCCAATGCAGGGAAGCTCAAAAGCAGAGCGGACCAAAGACATTTTTGTTTGCAGTTACTGTTCAGGAGGAAAATATTATTTCTCTAAAACACATTATCTTGAGACATTGTAAAGATTAAAATTCATTTAGTGAAGTGCAGCCCTTGTGCACGACAAACTGAATTCCTGAGCAATTACAGGCTGTACTGCTAAAACCTGAGGTAGAAAAGCTACACAGTTTCAGCTGTACAGGGAAACAGTCACTTTCAACAAGTCGTAAAGCAACATAAATTACCAGTTGTAAGACTACTTTATGCCTTAACACACAGAGGATAATGGATCCAATGTGTGTGTATAGTACATGGAAACTGAACTACTTCTACAGCCTGACACTCAGGGCTGTCCATCTATGCTGTGTCGAATACGATCTCTGAAGTGACACAAGCTATAAACCAGTGTGTCACTACAGCTAGCATCCGAACACCGCAGCTGAGGTCTTCTGACATCTATTACCCAGCTGGACAAAAACCACAACCCAAACACCCTGCAAAACCAGAGCTCACAGTACCACAGCTAGGGATTTACCTGTACCCAGACTTACCAGGTCCAACTGGCATCATTCCTGGTGGGGGTGGGCCCATCATTGGCATCATTGGCGGCCCACCCATATGAGGGGCCGGCATCATGCCGGGTCTCGGGGGGCCAGCTGAACAGATACACAGATCAGTTACACATCTGGCTGCTTTCACATTCATCGACAACATGCAACGCGAAGTAGTTTAACTTCACGGGACATTTTAGTAACTGAAGCGTCTCAGGTTCTTTTACAACTGCCTGCCATCATTTTCAGATTCAACTCTGACTTCAGGTGCCAAAAAGTGAACTGGAGGAAGCGTATGCAAGCTGTTACTGCCACCTTTGCACACCTAATGCAGGTGGCTACTGCTGCCAACAGCAGGACTTTGAAGAAAGAGCTCAGCCATTTGTCAGCTGAAGCACAAAAGAACATTATCAATCCTATTCTATTTAAAAAAAACAAAACAAGGAGGCACATTATTTCTATTAATGTGCCTAACTAAAGTACTAAAATAAGACAAAATAAAGCTTAAGATGGTAGCTGAGAGACTCTGACAAAACATTCACTTACATTTTGGTATTCACAAGCTCAAAACATCTTAGCTTGATTCCAAGCTAAAAGGACTCTTCTCTACAAGTCCAGGAAACAGGCAACACTGCTGCCAGCCCTGTCAAAACCTGTGCAGTGCAGACTTACGGATGCTGGGAGGAGGTGGTATCATGGCTCCTGCGGGAGGTGGTGCCGAGAACGGGGTAGGTGGGATTTTTCCTTGCTGGAAGGCAGCCGCTACATTGGGGGGGAAAAGAAAAGAAAAAGGGGGAAAGAAAGAATCCCAGGAGAAAAGCCAGTTACTAGGCTGAGGAAGCTCCTGCGCCAATCGTCCTTCGCATGCCACGCGGTCAGAGCATACTTCACGTCATGCTGCGTGCTCAGTTGTTCTAACTCTGGAACAAATCCCTGGTTTATGCTGCGGAAACACCTGATATTCTTGAAGACAATTATTACAGTAATTACTCCAGCTGAGACTAGACAGCTCCTTGATGGGTTTCACACACCTAACAGGAAGGCGGGTGCTACAAAAAAAATACATCTTGTGATTTTCAGCTGCAGCTTTCAACTGGAATCAGTAAAGACATGAAAATCCTAATTAGCAGTGACTTCAGTAGGTGACAAAAAGCATGAAAAATGTCATTCGTGAAAGGGAAAAGAAGAAATTCAAGAGACTGGAATTGACTAGAAGGAAGGCAAAAGACGTGAAATTGAGAATGGGCACAAGGAATGAGGCTGCGCCAGGGAAGCGCAGACTGTGCATCAGGAAAAGGCTTTTGCTGAGGGTGGTCAGTCCCTGGAATGGGCTCTCCAGGGAAGTGGCCATGGCACCAAGCCTGCCAGAGTACAAGGAGCATCTGAAGGACACTCTTTAGTCATATAGTTTAGTTTTAGGTATTCTTGTGAGAAGCAGGAGGTTGGGCTCAAAGATCCTTATGGGTGCCTCCAACTGGGTCTCTGATTCTACAATCTAAATAAAGTTGCCATAAGGTTAACCTGGCACTTGTATTCCTTTTCATGAAGAAAAGGACCATTATTCAGAGAACAAGCAAGAAGAAAAGAACTCTATAAACTGACAGAAGAAACACTTCACACTCTATTTATATTCTTGCTTTCAACAGCAGGGGAAGGGAATCAATATCCCAGGGAACTGAGGGCAAGAAACTATGTTTTAAAATAAAAAAGGGCAAGAGTCCACACATTTTAATGTCCGTTTTCCTATCTTTTGGATTTCTGATTTGGGCTCTTTCTATAAACATGCTACTACCAAAGAGCAAAACCATGTTATGTGACCCTTTAGGACACTATTAGCAGCAGTAGGTAGCGTCTGCCGCCCTCTCAACCACACTAAGGCGGTGCCTGCTCCCAATGACCCCTTGGGCTGAGCCCCTGGAGTCTTTGGTGGAAGCCACACTCCAACAAGTTCAAAATTCAGGTTCTAAGGGAAGTTTTTTTGCGCACGATTCACAGAGCAAAGACTCACCACAAGAATCAGCACAGAAGAAAAGCAGCTAGAGGTACAACAGAGGAGGTAAAGGGGACGCAATCCAGGGTTCCAGAAAGATTGGCCTTACTTGTTTTGTCAATCAGGCTCTGAGCTTGCTCCTCCATCCATTTCTGATAGTAGTCTTTCACATTCTCTTTGTGTTTTCGGCCACTGCAGTGGGTTTTTCTCACGGAGGGCTAAGAAAGATCATGTAAAGCTTACACAATATCACAGAAAACCAAAGTTTACTGGGAAATACATAACTTTAAACATACACAATTCATCAGCATGAACCAGGTTGGATTTTGCGCCCAGCCAGAGGATGGGCAACGTGCAAAAACTCTACGTATAAACTCTTAAGCGTTGAAACTCCAATTTAAGTGAAAGAGGATGCTCTAACAGCCAGCTGCATCCTATTCACTCACTGCAGGACTCACAGGCAGCCATGACCATTGGCTGCCCACAAATGTTGAAAGCTGGTGACACCAGTCTGGTTCTTTTTAGAAGGGACATAAGATATAACAAGGCAGGACACCAGGTTACTTCAGGTAACCTTATATAAGGTGTCTTTAAAGGCTCTTGATACAACAAAGCAGTTAACACAGGACTTACCGAGTCATGGGTGAGGTATGTATCGCAGTAATCACAATAAAACCTGAAAAGGGAAAACTCGCTGTTTCGCTGTGAGGATTAAACCCCAACATCCCCCCGCCACCACGGCCCAGCCCGCACCCGGCACCGCGCTCCATCCTCCGCCCTTCCCAGCCCTGAACCAGAGCCGAACCAGAGCCGAACCAGAGCCGAACCAGAGCCGAACCAGAGCCGAACCAGAGCCGAACCAGAGCGGCGGGGCTCGCCCCCCCTCCCGGCCCGGCCCGGCCCCTCAGGCCCCTCCGCGCTCACTTCGGCATGACGCTCCCCGCCGCCACCGGCACCAGCAGGAAGTGACGCGATCACACAGCGACACCTTCCGCCGCTTGACCTCCGACGGCTCCCGTAGCACCACGGCGGCTGCGCAGGGCGGGGCCGGGCCCAAGCCGCCTGTAACGCTACGTCAGAGCGGGCGATGGAAATGGCGGGAAAAGCGTCATTGGGTTGGGGGCTCCCCCCCCCACCCCCAGCTGCGTCGAGTTCTGCTGGCGCCACGTGACGTCACAGAGCCCGCCCTCCCGCGGGCTCATTTGCATACATAAACACTCCATATATGGGTGCGAGCGTCCCGCGCGCTCCCGTGACGCAGCGCCCCCGCCCCTGCCCTTGCGGCTCTCCTTCCGCTGAGGGCGCCAGCGTGCTTGCGTCACAGACCGCGTGCCCCGAGCGCGAGGCGGAGCGGCGCCTGCGTAGTGCCGGGCAGCGGCTGGCGTCGCCCGCGCCCCCTCCTCCTTCTCCCCCCCCCTCCCCAACCCCCCCGGCGTGCCCGCGCTCCCCTCCGGCCCCATGCGGCGCTGAGGCGGCGGCGGCGGCGGCAGCGGGGCGGCCCCGGGGCGGCGGGGCCCGCCGAGCGCCATGGAGGGCATGGACGTGGATCTGGACGCGGAGCTGATGCAGAAGTTCAGCTGCCTGGGCACCACCGACAAGGACGTGCTGATCGGCGAGTTCCAGCGACTCCTCGGCTTCCAGCTCAGCCCCGCCGGCTGCGCCTTCTTCCTCGACATGACCAACTGGTGCGGCGGGCCGCGAGCGGGGC